ATATAATAAATCTAACTACATTCATACAATGTATGTATAATATAAATTTCTAAACAATATGGATTCAATTTGAGTATAAAATTCCCACATAATTTCAAGACGACAAAGTTGTTGAATTTTAGAAATATTCATATACAATCAAATGTATTTACGCACTATTCTCGCATAGAATTGGAATGTTAACAAATCGACGGAAATCGCATACAATATTTTCAAATAATAAATTATCAAGCCCGACAAATTTCTAACACGTTATCTTTGTAATAACATAACTATAATATAATTGAAGAATTTTAATCTTGCAAATTAATTATCATGAATAATATAGTTCGCATTATCTTCAAATAAACAATAAATATGCATATGATTTTTATTTTTCACATGTGGCTGATTGTTTCTAATTTTATTATGACTATGTGATTATTTTCTGATAATATATGTAATTATTCTGTTACAAATATATCACTATCAACAAAAATATTCTATTAATTTATTAATTAATATATTGCATTAGGAAAAATAAATAAAGTTCCATAAGTTTCGAGATCTAGTTTAGATCTTCCTCAGTACACAATAAAATATAAAACATTATGTGGCAAATATATTATTATATTGACTACTAATAATTTAAGTACAATTTCAAAAAATTAAAAAATATATACGAAAAATAATGGATAACATGACAAATTCCAAAAACAAAATACATATAATAAATAATTAACATTTACGCTATCAATTTGCTTTTTATTTTTTCTGATATGTGTAAAATATATGTGTTTGTAAAATGTTATAGGAACAAATTTCACGTGATTTTTTAATTTCAAAAGCAATATTTTTTATCACAATGCACCATAAATCATAAGCTATAAACAAGATTGTAAATTCGCGAATTTTAGAAAAATTGGGTCAACATGTGGGCAGTTATAAATCATTCTATCATAGAATAAATATTGGAATATAGGACATACTACAAAATTTAAGACCATAATAAACGTTTATGGTATTTTGATATATAATTTGTCTGATATTTCGATATTAATTAACACAAGGAGTATTTTTATTTGATGCTATTACCTTTTATATAGTGAAATATAATTTAAAATGAGTTTAATTTTCATTATATAGAGCAAAATATTCGTAACAAAAACTGATAGAAAAATATAAAAATATTTACATTTATAAAAAATCATTAAAATAAATGTGAACGATTTATTTATTAATGATTCTTTGATTCATATACAAACAATAAACAATTCAATTAGAGATACTTTTTAGATGGATTTTCAAAGTTTTATACAATTCTGCTTTATAATATGAAACCTAATAAATTTAAATACTTATTAATAATATAATCAAATTACCAAATTAGTTGAGAGTGCCATTTCGCATTAAGGCAAGTTGCATGAACTTCCGAAATGTGTAATAATTGACTTGTCTGATGAATCGTTATTGACATTTAGATATTTTAGATGACATTATCAATTGCACGATTACATATATCATCGAAGTTAACTACGAAAAAATGGCTCGGCCAATCTTTGTCAAAACTATTCAGCAGAATTTCTAAATAACATCTATCAAATAGTATTTGATAAAATCTATTCGTAACTTTTGGCTAAACGTGGACAATTTTTTTTCTTTTTTATTTTAATTACAAAGAAACAGTTTGGACAATCGTCGCGCAAGACTGACAATTTTAAATTTATGAAATGCTTTTAAATTTTTAAAATGGGTCCAGCTGTTTTTGAGAAAACGTCGATTAGAGTGAAACTTTATTCACAACACACACATATATATCTTTGTCTAAATTTGGTCTCATTCGATTCAGAATGGCTTGAAATGTCGATAAACATAAAATTAGCAAATTGGTTTTTTTTTATAAAAAATAAGCAGATTTACATTAAGAGTATATTGTTCTGTCATTTAAGTTCATATGTATATTTTAATTTGTCAGCTTTATGTACCGATCTCTGTATTTTATTAAAATCTTATAGGAGCAACAAAATGTTTAAATAAAGATTGATGGTAATTGATACCACAAATATATAAAATTAGAATAGAACACAATAATAATCAGCTGTTAAAAATGCTGCATAATATGTATGTATACACAGGGCCGGTTCTACCTTGAATGCGAGGCAAATAATGCGTTCGCACGCCATAGGGGTGGGGGGCGAAAACTACAAAAATTAAATTAAATAATCCAACATAATACCAGTGTGTATGTTTAATAATGAGAGACTACCTTTTTGCTCTTTATGATTTGCTCAATAAAATAAATCGCACCAAATGCCATTATAAATAGATAAAATGTTTCTAAACCCAATATTAATATTACACATGCGTTAGAATAAAATAAAAATGTAATAATACTCTTGTAAGCAATAATGAACATACTGAAATTTTTGAATGTCCAAAGAGTTTATATTGAAAATAAGAATTTAAAAATAGTTCGGTATTGCGACAACGATAAAAGGCATTTCATACTACAATTTGATTATGAGTACTCGTAAAATCGACTTGACCTTCTGAATAAATTTAAAATCAATATATTTTATGCGCTTTTATATTATACCTAATTTTTTTGTACTAAATCCAGATTTATTAAAAATTATTTAAAAAATTAACGTAAATGTTTATTAAAGGTGGGGAGGACGCTAAAAAAAATTGGCATGCAGGCGCTAAATACTCCAGGACCGACCCTGCGTATACAAATATACATATTTAAATTGATAGATATGAACTAAACTATATTTCAATATATAAATTGCATAAAACTGGATCATAGAGTACAATGACCTATAAAAGTAAAACTTATTGGACTTTATAACTAATATCTTTGTTCACACCAATAAATCAGTATAAAAATGAAAGTTGATAACAAATAGACAATTATCAAGAGAGATTTTTAAAACAATTGAAGTTAATAAAAAAAAATTACATGAACTTTAAAAAATAAAATAAAATTTAATAATAAAAAACATTACATGAAACAAAATATTGCTATTTAAATTTATTTGTCTAACATGGTAACACATATAGATACTCTAATTGAATTAAATATATTTTCAATCATATAGAGTGCTTTGATTAATATAATATGTAAATAAATTCATTTAATTATGAATGCATATTTTATAAAACAGACAATTATACAAAAATGTAAGAATATATCATATTATATTATATTTATATATATATATATATATATATATATATATTATATTATATAATATCAAATAGAAATTTGAAAATATAGAATATACCAGACATAATGTTTTGATCAAACACATGGTGAATGAAAGTACACAAAAAACAAGTCACTAATATAGTGTATATTTTAATGAAACAAGTTGCATACATTTTAAGAATTAGTGTGATTCATATTTAATAATCTAATTTAAAACAACTTACCAAATGTTTGATACATTTATATAAAATAAACATTTTTCTTTCAGATTGCACAACACACAAGCACATTGACAGTACGAAAGACAGCTGTCAAAAATGTTATTGGAACTGTCAAAGTGACAGTTCCCAAAAACTTCGGCCATTCCCGATAGATGGTGACGTCGCATGTCAAAAATTTTAAGGTTATGTTAGGAAGACATTTGACAATTTATAAGTCTTTAGAACGCAACAAAACAAAAATATTAAATTTTTGAGAATTAAGACCTCAAGTTTACTTTTTTCTTAAATATAACTTATGTGGTCGTTTAAGCTGACAGTGAACT